TTATCTTTTTATCATTTTATTGAAGTAATTGTCTCGTATTTATTTTTGTTTTTGTAATACATCTTCGTTTTAGTAAATGTTTTTGTAGTAATTATTTTCTCTATATTTTGTTAGAATTTTATTATTTCAAGGTTTTATAGTAAAGTTTCTGTTCCTGTAGTACTATTTGTGTTTAGTAATGTTGTTATTATTGACAATTTCAACAGTAATATTTTATTTTTTCATTAATTTACGGTTTTAATTGTCTCATGCTTATGTTTAATTTTTTGTATTATTTATTGTTATCTTGTAATTATTACTTTGATTTCCCTGTACCTAACCTTAATATAGATGTCTAGCAGAACTAATCAATTCATTCATTTATGTAACTGCGGCTTATTTATAAACATATGGTAATTTTCATACTAAGGAACAGCCAAGGTAATTAAATAAATCGTTTTTGCACGTCGAACCGAGTCGGATTTTTGTCCAGTTTATCGTGAAATGCTAGAATCAGAATCCATGTAGATTTTCCCAACAAAACAACAACAATTTTATGAAACAGAATCTTAACAAATGTAATATCTCTTAGTACTTTCGGCAATACACACGCACACTCATGTATATTGCCGAAAGTACTAAGAGCTAGGCCCGGCATGGCCAGGTGGTTAGGGTGCTCGACGCGCAATCTGCGGGTCGCGGGTTCGAATCCCCGTCACACCAAACATGCTCGTCCCTTCAGCCGTTATAAAGCGACGGTCAATCCCACTATTCGTTGGTAAAAGAGTAGCCCAAGAGTTGGCGGTGGGTGGTGATGACTAGCTGCCTTCCCTCTAGTCTTACACTGCTAAATTAGGGACGGCTAGCGCAGATGGCCCTCGTGTAACTTTGCGCGAAATCCGTAACAGACAAACAAATTAAGAGCTATTACACACACATATGTAAATAAGAGCACACATTTTTATGCAACAACATAAAATGAAGATTTGATGCACATGACAAGGAAGTTAAATTTGTAGTTCAATTTATACCCTTTAAGACGTAGGTTTTGAAATTTTCAACAGCTCGAGGCTTATATACTTAATAATATCACTTGCAAAATTGCTTTAGTTATAAGTATTCCGTTCCTGAATATAAAAGTTTCAAATTCGTTGCAATATCACTACTCACAGATGTTTAAATATATGATTTGCTCTACGTCACAAGATTTCGTGGACGGAGCTCGTATACTCACTCATTTTTCACAAACGAGGATTCTTCTGCCGTATTTTGAACACCAGATTTATTCAACTTTGCGGGAAATTCAACAGTATTCTTGTTGACAGTGTTCGAATTAATAGTTTTAAATAATATCAGCACCTTATGAAAACTATTACGTTTACTCTTTAATTTTTTAGCTAGTTCTTTAAGATAACAATAAACCACTATAGTATGGTGATCCCCATTAGTTTTACCTCTCGTTAGTGTAAGCTTCTATAATAATTAATGAAAGCTGTTTAACAATTCCTTAAATAGTGTAACATTACTTCATTAGTTAAGTTACACTAGTTTCTGGTAACGATTTAATTGTAATATTAACATTGTTGTTACATCCTTTTCTAAGTCTTACTATTAATCAGTGCTTTCTAGAATATTATTATCGTTTATACAATTTGGCTAGTACTTAGGCTTTAAATTTATTCATTGCTTCCAGCTGCCCACTCGATGTGTGTTGTAAAGTGACAGCAGTTAGTTAAACCTTGATTAGTTGAGCTAGATAAACCTCATTCCATAGTTAATATATTATTATTTTTTGTTACTTAACTTGCTTATCTTTTAAGAGATTTCGGTTAGTTCTAGATCCATAGATAATAAATGAATGTCAAAACAGTACAATAAATAGCAAAAATAATGTTACTCTAATTAAACTTTTAAACAATGCGAGAGAGGTTGACTATTGCAATACTGTCTTGCGTCATTGCGCCATCTCCAGTAGCTTGAAGTATTGTAACAATATAAACAGCGACAAGTACCTTATGTCATTTTCTCCATATTTTTAATATACGGCAGCTCAAAACAGGATGAAATGGGTGTCATCGAAGTAGATCATATGCTTCCTCCTGACGCACAGTTTGCACTCTAAATATCACTGAAGCTTTACGTTGGGATATGAAATAAGCATTTTCTGGACCGCTTGTTGGCTGCCATATGATAATGTTTATAATGTCTTTCTAATGATTTAACTGGACATAGGTAAATTGTATAAAACTATGTAAAAATTCCAGTTAGCTCTTTCCAAAGGAAAAAAAAAAAGTTTGATAGGCCTATAAAATAACATTTCTAGATACTTTATAATTATTTAGTTGAACTTAAAAAGTTTACAATTTAACATATTTTAATACAAATAATAATCGTGTGAAACATGAGTATATGCATCTCATTGATAAAAAAGTACTCATTTTGGTAATACGCTAACCATATTTTATGTAACCACCAAGTTTTTTAGAGAAAAAAAATAATAATTCAAAATACGTTATCTACACAAAAATTACTGGAAACTGTCCTTAAGTTTAAATAGCTCAGCTATTAACAGTTAAAAGCTTAATGTTTAACTAGATTTGTGCTAATAAAAGGCACTAGATTATGAATAATATCGTGTGAAGATCATCTTGTGACCAATACGAAAATCAAAAATAATTTTCGACGCGTGGCAGCTGTTTTCAGATAACACGCTATCGGATATTATACGTAACAAAGACTCGGTTTTTCAAACCACAAATAAAGTTTTTCAAAACAAGTGCGTTTAAACATAGACGTGTTTTAAAGATTGTATTTATGTGATTCGACAAACAATTTGAGTACAACTTATCAAGTCAAAAGTTTCACAACGTTTAATAGAATTAAGATACTTGTGAAAAGAGCGTTATGTTATGTTTAAAGCACAAAATGCGGATCAGTCAATGTAGGACAACAAGGTCCAACACCACGATACGCTGAATCTCATAAAATTACAAAAAACTAGCAAATTATTTTGCGATCGTTTATGCTTGTGTTTAATTGTTTTTCTTTTTCTGTAAAGTCTTAGAATTGAACTTATTGAGTCGATGTATCGCTCTGACATATTTATCTATTTGAATGTTTTAACCACTTGTTATTTTAGGGCAAAAATAAACACCGAGTAAGTAAAGTATTAAGAATGCATATAACTAATCACTATTCCCTGTATACAAGTATTTGACATGCATCCATTAGATATGAAAGTTCTTTTGACGATAACCATGAAACTAGCACAAAAGAGAATCGATACTGACTGGCTGCTTTATAAAAACTAATCTACGTTTGTAGAACACTCATTTTTAATTGCATACTTAAAATATAAGCTGATCATGTGATATGTTACATAATTAATATTAACTTCTGATCAAAGCAAGCTACCTACGTTGATCATAAATTTCAAAAACTCCAATAATGAATATATATAATTTAATATTCTGTTCTTACGTGCTTATTTATAATGATTAGATACATTGTTTCATCAGCTGAGTAGTCTTAATATCGGCGATATTTTCGAGCATAATCCCGATAATATCTCCCGAGGTTTGGCCTCTTTAAAGGAGCACGATAACATAACATCCACCAAATTCAGTCCAACTGAATATTCACGTGTATAGTATAATATCTGAGTTGTCGTTTATTCCCGGCAAGTAACTTGTAATTATATAGGTATTTTGAAGAACATGTAGAATTAATGCTATTAACATGTTCTGAATTTTTCAGCGGATTAATTGTATAAGATAAAGTATTTTTTCTCTCAACTCCAAAACTACGAATTTCACCAAGAAGCAAACGTGAGGTTCAGTCTTGTCTTGGATTCATCACTTTTCGTTGTGTTACATTGATGTTAGAAATACTATTTGCTGTTAGTAACCATGGGCAAATCAAATCATATACTTCTTATCTAGTGGGGTAAAATCGAAAAGAAAAATTTCTGCATTTTGTGAAATATATGTAACGCTGAGACCAGGCTATTATCTTGGCGAAACGTGTACCAGCCCGATATTAGGACAGTCTTTACAAAATAGCCTATGTATCGGTCTAATAAACGCTCACTGTATGTTGAATATTTTTTTTATCTTGAGAGGAAACACAAAAGCCAGCTGCATGCATAATCTCTACTTGTCTGTCCAGTGGCTTGAAAGAATTACAGCTTGTGAATAGGCGTAGATTTATGCATATATTTATTTGGAATGATTAATACCTTTCAATATAATTCATAAAAATTATAATAAGGATTGGCATGGCCTGGTGGTTAAATCGTTTAACTTACGAGCTGCAGGTCATGGGGTCAAATCCCATCACCGAATGTGCTCGCCTTTGCAGCTGTTGGGGCATTATAACGTGTCAGTCGATCCAACGCTTCGTTGATAAAGAGTAGCCCAAGAGTTGGCTGTGGGTGGTGTTGGCTGGCTGTCTTTCCTCTAGTCTGTCAGTTCTAAATTAGGGACGGCTAGTGCATATAGCGCTCGAGTAGCTTTGTGCAAAATTCAACAAGCAAATAAAATCGGAGAGATTGCATACCCTCGCTCTGCCGCTCCTTTTCGAGATTGCATGATCTTATATTGGATAACGTCAAAGCTCAGAAAATCATTGAAAGTGATCCAGAATCCGGATCAAGATTTGGATCCGGACCAAATTTAGGGAGAACTGTCTCATACTAATGTAGGTCCTAAATCAAATATGTTTTGAAACTCAGCTTCATATCTTGCAAAGTCGTAATAAAAGGAACCAAATGTCTACATTTGTTTTGAAATAACTGGTTTAAACCACGAATTTTCATTGATATTGATAGTATAAACAATAAGTTATTATATAAAAGTTTTGTCTAGATAAAGTATTTTTTTCTCTCAACTCCAAAACTACGAATCTCACCAAGAAGCAAACGTGAGGATCAGTCACTATTTTTGGAATTGTTTTTTTTTTTCACTCCGACTTATCATATTTTATTTACGTACCGAGTTATCCTAGAAATGGCTAATCTAAACCTTGACCTATTCTTGAACTGGTTATTTTTATTCCTGATTTATCAGTAAGGTGATTGATTTCAGCCATGATATATTCTAAACGTTGCTGAGATTAGCCCTCATTTAATATTCAAAATGCTCGGCTTTGAACTGAAGTTATTCATAAAATGGTTGAAATCAAAATCGTGTTATCCTTGAAGTAGTTCGCTTTAACCTGAACTAATAATTGGAGTATTGGTTTCTCTTTGGGTTATTGGCTTTATCTGTTAATCATATGTGGTGGAAGATTTTAAAAAAATAACTGAGGAGATTTGTTATGTGCAATAGGAATCAGACTGTGTTTCAGGTGAGCGATTTCTTCAACATTGGTCAGAATTAGCTTATCTGTAACCATACCATGCGCAGGATAATACAAAAATTATCACGTGATAACCGACAATTAGTACAAAAACAACTTGTATGAAAACTGGAAAATACACCTTCAATGGTCATAAGAGCTCAAACTCTGGACAATAAATATACTTTAATGTATTTAAATATAACCAAATTTTGTGTAAGATTATGTTCCCCACAAAAGTAGATAACATAAAGTGAGAAGAGATTGCTATACACTCTCTTTAATAAATGACTTATTGAACACAAACTTACACGCTGGGATCTGTCATGCCAATCCAACCTTATAGTTAACCTTTTTGCAATGTAGTTAATGCATTCAGAAAAGAGGATATTTCTATGACAGCTCTTCTCTTAAACACATTTTAACCACTGGTGAAACAATGAAAACATGTGAGGCTATGGGCTACAAGTAGAAAATTTTTACATGCTAGAAATACATGTAGTAATTGGTGGGCTATTTAAATAAAACCAAATTTAATATTTTTAATTTTCAGTGATTACATGTAAATACAGTGCCTTCCAAAAGTCTTCACCCCCCCTGTGCGAGTAATCAATTTTAGTTATTTTCTTGTGAAAGACATAACTCAAATGGTCAAAAATATTTATTATATTAATCTCAGACCAATTTACAATGGTTAAAAAAACATAAGGTGTATTGTAACTCACTTTAGTGATATAACACAAACAAAGTTTGAAAACATGTTGCAAAAGTCTTCACCCCCTAACGTGATTATGCAGTTAACATTTGGTTGAAGCTCCTTTGGCAGTAACGACAGCTGAAAGTCGTTTTGGATAACCCTCCACAAGCTTTTCACAGTATGCTGGAGATATTTTACCCACTCCTGCTTGCAGATATCTCCAAGTTATTGTGAGTTGGAAGGATGTCTTCTATGCACAGCAATTTTCAAGTCTCTCCACATATTTTCAAGTGGATTTAGGTCTGGGCTTTGGCTTGTCCAGTCAGGGACGTTAATTTTATTTCTCCGAAACCATTCTTGGATGGCCTTTGATCTGTGTTTGGGATCATTGTCCTGTTGAAATGTAAACCTTCAACCTACTTTTAGTTTTTCAACTGACTTCTTCAGGTGTGTAAATTTTACACTGTCCATGATCCCGTGAATGTGTACAAGTTCTCCATTGTGAGCTGCAGAAAAACACTCCCACAGCATTATAAACCCACCACCATGCTTGACAGTTGGGACTGTACATATCGTTTGTCATTTAACCCCGAAACTTATATTTTGACCTCATCTGACCATAGAACTTTCTGCCACATTGTTGTAGGGTTATTGAAATGTTTACGGGCATAGTCCATTCGCAATATAAAATGCATCGATGTCAGTAGTGGTTTCTTTCTTGCCACCCTACCATACAAGCCTTTTTTGTGTAAGGTACGTGATATTGTCGAGGTGTGTACGGCAACTCCAGTTGATGCTACTGAAGTCTGCAGCTCTTTCAATGTCACTGTTGGCTTGACAGTCGCTTCTCTGGCGATGTTTCTGCTTGTTAGAGCACAGACTTTTTTAAGGCGACCTGATCTTGACAAGGTTGAGGTAGTGTGACACACTTTCCATTTGTTCACAACCGATTTTACTGTACTCAATAAAAAATTGAGAACCTTTGAAATTGACTTATAGTCTTCTCCCGAATTGTGCATTTGAACAATCTTCTCCCTAAGGTCTGTAGAGAGTTCTTTTCTCATCATTCTCAACCTGTAACAGTAAACCAAATTTTAACTTTCAAAATACTCTGCTTAAATCAATACTGATGGCTCTATATGACCTAAAGTATTTTTTCACGTGGCTCTATAATATACTTTGGTATCTGATAGAGTTGTACAGAGCCACTTCTATTTATTTTAGCAGGGTAGTGACGTAAAGTTAAGCCAACTATGGTAAAAGCTTAGGGGCTGAAGACTTTTGCAACATGTTTTTTTCAAGATTTTTTGTTTTATATCACTAACTTGGGTAACAATGCACCTTTTCTTTTTAATCTTGAGAAACCGATCTTAGTGAATATATTTGGCCATTTGAGTTGTCTTTCACATGAAAATACCTAAAATTTATTACCAACACAAAAGGGGCACTGTAGATACCAGTGTTCTCAAGGTTATAGATTTCAATGTGAATAACTAGGAAGGATCCATAGAATAACTGTAGGTCTACCAGAAAAAAAAATTGGAGTAAAATCTTAGTACTCCTAACCTCGACTGAATTCGAAGCAAAGAAAGAGACTGTACAAAATGAATCATACAGAGAAACGATCTTTATTCAAACATTCTAAAAACAACAATCAGAATTTTTAGGGCAAGCACATTGTGTCACATTGTACTGAAGTGTGTTATTAGATTAAGTCAGTATTTGTAGAAATCAAACCAACATTTCTCTTAATCATTAAATTCTCAATTATCCTGTTCCAGACTAATAAAAATAGCATTATACACCAAAAACAACAAAGCTATTCTTCTCAGGTGCAGGTGCTACCCACGTGACTGACGGTCACTCTCATTTAATAATAAACACCTGGCTTTTCCACTGACAAGCTCACTGTCAATTTCTGTATAGTCTATTCTGTGTTGCAGCAACCTTCCTACAAGAAAGCAAATATAACACGTCAGTTGACTATTGTAACGAA